TGATCTTGACAGACCAAGGGTCTGATTCAGTATAAGGCAAATTCATGTGTGTTCATGCTAGAGTAACCTGTCCTGCAGTCACTCCATCAGTTGCTGGGTCCATTCAAGGTACTGGTTACCATGTACAAGGCCCTTCACGAGAGACTGCCTCTTCTACTATTTCGTAGCAGCTTTGGTCTTCTGAGCAGAGCCTTTTTAAAAGTGATTCCTCCTTGTAAATTGATAAGATCAGCACCCACTTGGAGTCCTGGTAGATAACTCACTGAAGATGTCAACTCAGTGTGCAATTGCAATAAAAAAGGCAAATGCCATGCTATGCTGGGGATCATTAGGAAGGGAATGGAAAACAAATCAGCCAGTATCATAATGCCCCTGTATAAATTGATGGTGCAGCCTCATTTGGAATACTGGGTACATCTTCCCTATGCTGAAGATTGCTTGAAGTTGTGTTGATAGAGCTGTTCTGTACAACATCTGTCTTTTTTAAAGTTATAAATCTGACAGGAAGCCCTCTTGAAACACACACCACTGGCATACACAAACACAACGGGAAGAAATGATGACAAGCTAATGGGGCAGCAAATACTGAGCAGCTTTTTATTTATTTTGACAGCTTTGACATCAGTGACACCATTAAATATGTATAAAACCTACATAGAAGGGAGCTGAATCTGAAAGTCCCACTGAGGTCCCCGTCCTCCCCAGGCCCCCATTCCCAAGTCTCCAGGAATTTCCCAACCTGGAGCTGGCAACTTGAATGGGAAGTGATATATGACAGGACTTAAATTGGAATTTTGAAAGAAGGAAGTGACTTCAGAGAAGACGTGGGTTTGGGGAGTGCCCTGAAAGTGACATTACAGGAAGGGACGGGGTTTTGGTGCAGTGTGCTGGAAGTGACATTATTGGAAGGGGTGGCGCTTGGGAAGTGACATCACTTGACCTTTGACCTGGAAGTGACATGACAGGAAATGACATCACAAAAGTGATCGATCCCCAAAGTTCCTATATATTTCCCTAGTCAGACCTGGCAAACCTAGAGGGACTACTAAGAAAACCTGGGCAGAAATGACTCCTAAGTGAAGGAACAATTTACAGTCCCTGGACTGATGGTCAGAGCTGCTATTCAGGCACACATGGGTGGAGACCGTCTCACAGCTTTGAGGGTCCCAGTTGTAAATGGATGTGTTTGCGATGGTAAAAGATAGTAGTTTGGTTCCTCTAAGTTGCTGGTGTTTTAAGACACCTAAATTTCCCAAGATTTTACTTGTAGGTAGTGCCTGTTCATTCAGATTTTCAGGGACTGAAAGGATACAGCCACTATAACTGCTGCAATTTGTCTATTATTCATGTGTCCTGAAAGTATTCAGGTAGCCTGAACAGTTCTCTTTTCCAGCTTAGAAAAGTAACAGTCAGATAACAGTCCCACTTTTATAAGAGTAAAAGATTGTCTTTTTTTCAGGAGACGATGCCGATGGCAATGCGTTAGTTTTCTCCTCACAGTCCAAAGCTAAGCCCAAGTACTACAACTAAGCCTCATTAAGTATTTAAGTATTTAATTAAAATTAAGCCCTACAACCATTTTCCTTTTCTCTTCCTCTCTACTGGCAATCACCAGTGTAAATAAGGAAAACTATGGAATGTTTACATCAATAATTCCAATAATTCCAAAAATATGTGATACAGTCATTGCAGTATTGCCTAGTTTGGTTAGAAATTTGCACTTAAACCTGTATGTTCTCTGAACTACTCTACGGATAAGATAAAGTACATGTCTTTACCAGATTGCATTCCACTATCTGAGTATGACTTCTGTGTTTAAGCACATGATTCTCATGTATCATCACTTTGATATTGGTGCACTTTTTAAATAAAACTTTATTAAACCACAATAAAACCCAAGGAGACCCACATATTAATGAGGCGGGTACTCTGCTTGCCCACCTCATATTGAGATTTAATCTAGTCATCTTGAATGGTCTGCCTCCCTTTGATTCGCCTGGGGATTATACATTCGCCTCGGCACGGGGAAGCAGTGTGATTGACTATATAATGATCTCACCATCACTTTGGGAGGAGGTGAGAGCATTCTCGGTGATTGGCCGGCCGGAGAGCGATCACTTCCCATTAGCTCTGGTTTTTAATTTAACCTTCACTGTTGTAGAACACGAGGTCCTGAGGGATGAACCAAGAGAAGTGTCCTATAGTACTCCTAAGATTTGTTGGTCTGAGAAAGTGGCCCGAAAGGCTGCTGAGGTCTTGGTGCCTCGACGCCTGGAAGAGTTCATACATCTATCTAGGGAACCAAATAGGACCTCAGACCTGATTCAGGCATATGACTATACTATAACTCAACTGGTAGAATCGATATCATCCCATTACCATCAATCTGGGCATAACAAATCGCGTCGGTTAGGGACATGGTTTGATAGAGAGTGCTATGAAGCAAAGGCCGAAGTCCGTTCCATATATCAGACATACAGAAAGTTTTGCTTAGGAAGTTTGCCTCCAGAATACTTTGAGTCGAGGGCATCCTTGCAAAATCTATATAGAGAAAAGCAAAAACTGGCCCGGCAGAGGAGTTGGGAACCTCTTCTGCACGCTACTCAAGGAAATTTTGGGCTGTGATATCGGAGGCATTTGGCAGGAACAGACTTGTGAATTCCTCAATTACTAATAAGGACTGGCATGAAATTAAGTCACCTAGTAAATAAATACCACAAAGGGAAAGGAAGCAAGTTAATTGCTACCTTCCTTGATTTGAAGGGTGCTTTTGACTCTGTGTCTAGGGAGCTGCTATGGAAGAAACTAATGAAGCTGGGGATGGATTTAAGATTGCTATTCTTGATTAGGAAACTTTATACTGGTACAACCTGTCAAATTAGAGGCTCTAGTAAGGGTACTCTAACCCCAAAAATCATTACTAATATTGGGGTCAAACAGGGATGTATTTTAGCCCCGCTTCTCTTTAATTTGTTCCTTAATGATCTGGCTGCTTGTTTGGAAAAGTCTGAGGGCTATAGTCACTGCCCATGTTTAAGTGGACGACCAATTCCCCTGCTTCTATACGCTGATGATGCCGTCATTCTCTCCCGCTCTGAAGTAGGGATGAAAAAATTGTTGGAGTGTTTCCTGGATTATTGTGACCATAATGGACTTTCAGTGAATTTTGAAAAATCTAAAGTTATGGCCTTTGGGGGATTCTGGAAACCTATGAACTGGAGCATAAGGGGTAAAATAATTGAGCAGGTTAAAAGCTTTAAATATCTGGGGGTCACCTTTCATCATAACTCCAGGTGGGTAACACACAGAACAGAGGCAATTAAAACTGCGAACTGCTGTGTGCTCGCAATTTTGCGGTTTTATTACACTAAGGGTAATCAGTATGTGCCAGCAGCTATAAAAGTGTTTGCACATCAAATTAGCGCGAAGCTACTATATGGTATTCCTATCTGGATTACTGCTTTTAATAAAGCAGTTGAACAACTACAATCCAAATTCCTGAGGAAGATTCTGGGGTTGCCTTCGTGCGTATCTTATGCTGCCATTTGTCTGGAGCTTAATTTGAGACGGTTAGAGACCAAGGCCTGGATTATTACTTTCAGATTTTGGCTACGTCTGCATTTTAGATGTAACCACAATAGCCTTATCACCTATATGCTGGAAGAATCTCAATCCTCTGCGTGGCTTATGGCTATTGAAAAGAAAATCACTTCTATTGGTTTTAACCTGAGTGACCTTGTCATCCGGTCAGAGCTTGAGGTCTTTACTTTGCTTAAACAGAGACTTATTGATATAGAGTTGCAAGAGCTCAGAGCCCTTGCCTCCGGAAGGTGCTCCTCAGTAAGGTGGGCTTATCCCCTTTCTGGTACTCTACCATATTACTTTTTCTGTCTGACTTCACCGCAAATGTGTAGAGCTTATCTGTTGGCCCGTCTTAATGTTCTCCCCTCTGCTATTCTTGAGGGGAGATATAAGCAAATTCCTTATTCAATCAGGTTCTGTGGTTGTAACAGAAGTGAAATAGAAACTGTTGAGCACGTACTCTTACACTGTAAATTGTTAAATGACATTCGAGTGGAGTGTATAGAAGCCCCCCTTAGGATGGTAGCAGGCCAATCAGATAGAATCAAGATACAATTTCTCCTTGCTTCACGAGATCTGGAGATCATTGAACTGACCGCTAAGTTTCTCCATTGTTTTATAAAACGGAAGAGTAACCCTGATCATATTAATGATTCTTAATTTATAAGTTTAAAAACTTAAGTTTAAAAGTTTGGAATGCCAGTTTATTTTATGATTCAGGCATCTTTTGTATGGTCAAATCTAACTTGTGACAACTTGAGTTAGGCCTGACATACCCACGACTATCTATTTTATAATTTCTCTTGGATTGTATTATTGGGAAATGTTTTAATATTCTATGCCAATAAAAGGTATTTGAATTTGAATTTGAACAGAAACATACCAGGTAAGTACATTGTCAATAGATTGAGCCAGTTTGGTGTAGTGGTTAAGTGTGCGGACTCTAATCTGAGAGAACCTTTGGGTAGTGAAGGATGGGGTATAAATCCAATCTTCTTCATCATCCATTGCCTTGTGTCCAGATATTAGCATATTCTTAGGAGCCGGACTTACAAAATCAGATATAGTTGAGTATTCATATTTAAAATGTTGAAATCAAAATTCTGACTTTCACATTTCCAGTGTTTAAGGATGGGGTATAAATCCAATCTTCTTCATCATCCATTGCCTTGTGTCCAGATATTAGCATATTCTTAGGAGCCGGACTTACAAAATCAGATATAGTTGAGTATTCATATTTAAAATGTTGAAATCAAAATTCTGACTTTCACATTTCCAGTGTTTGTTATGCATTGGATGTAGACTGAACTTCCTTCCCAACTGCAAGAAGAAGGCTCGGCTTCCTACAGTTTATTGTTTCTTGATGCCTATTTAATTCAGATTTCTTATGACAGCTGTTTCTCTTCTTGTTTCCACAGACGGAATGCCATTTGTTTGGTGGGTTGGTCGTACCAGTGAAAAACATCCTTACTGGGGAGGATCTCCTCCAGGAGTCCAGCAATGTGCCTGTGGATTGGAGGAAAACTGTCTGGATCTGAGATATTTTTGTAACTGTGATGCAGATAAAGAAGAATGGTAACTACAGGAAATTATTCTAGTCTAAATTTTGCATCAGAAGATGAATGACTAATGGTAGTGAAAAGCAATAGCTGAATTACAGAATGTGAAATTAGGAACTTTTTGTATAAATTTAGTTGCAGTAAAAAAGGATAGAGTCAAATTTTGATTTTTTTTGGCCCCGTTCACACAGCAAATTTGCCACGGGAGAGCCACGATTGGATGGCAGATTTTCCGGGTGTGATCACACCACAACACCTGGCAAGTGGAGCGCACCCGTGGCCAACCCGTGGCATGCCGCCGAAAAGGTGCAATAAAAAAAAACCTCCTCAAAGGTAGTAGCAAACGGTTTGCCACGGGCTGCCTCTGGACTCCCTTGGTGTGATTGTGGCAGCGCGGCTTTTCCCTCCAGCTGTCTTTGTTGCAGCGTGCACGCCGAGGGCTGGAATCGTGGGTTCCTGCCGACGCGTCTGATCACATTGTCACGTGGCTAATTGCAGCATCGCAAATAGCCATGCCTCCCCCCCTGCATTTTCCAGCCCATGTGACCACGGCCTTTGTTGGTTTATTTGTTCATTTGGATCCACCAAATTATTTTATGTATTTACTTCATTTATACCCCAATTTCCTTCCCAGTGGAGACCCAAAGAGGCTTATCCTCTTCTCCATTTTATTCTCACAACAACCCTTTTAGGTAGGTTAGGTTAAGAGTGTGTAATGTGTCCAAGATTGCCCAGCAAGCTTCCGTGGAAGAGATTTGAAGCCAGTTGTCCCAGATTCTAGTATGGCACTCTAACCACTACATTAACACTGGGTCTTAAAATTTCAGGGCCAGTTGTAAACTATGGAGGCCACTTTATCTCGGGAAGTTGTCCAGCTACCACCTTGTTCAAGAATGGAACATTGGAGAGCAGTTGATAATTTATTGAGATCTCCTGGGTCCAGGGTAGGCTTCCTTAGAAGTGAACTCACCACAGCCTTTTTCAGTGATTGGGCCAGGATTGCCGGGTCCCCTCGTTGTGCTGGTGGTGGGGGGGTGGGGGGTGTTCTGGGACATCCCTGATGTGATGACATCTCCTGGATGAGACATCATCAGGTTGGGGATGTCACGTGGTAACCCTCTGGTTTGGGGGCAAACCTCTATGGTAAAACTGGGTTTAAACCATAGAGTTTTGCCCTCAAACCAGAGCGTAACCGCACAATGCCCCCAACATGATGATCTCACTTCCTGGTGATGTCATTGCATCCAGGACGTCACACAGAAATGTTGCTGTTTGGGGGCAGGGTTTCAGGGCAGAAGCCCCAAAAACCGGGAGAAACCCCACTGGGAACTGGCAAGCCTAGATGGAGTTACCGCCCCCTCTCTCAAGGAGGCATTAACTGCCTCTTGGCCTCAGTCATCCAGGCCTCCCCACCAGCAAATGTAAATAGCTAGGAAGGTCAAGGGTCATACAAGCAGATGGTAGGCCTCAAACTTCCATTAATCAGATCCTCAGACTAAATTAACTGAAATGTATCCCAGATAGCTGAACAAGTTGGCACCTACTCTTGGGGTTTTAGTTAGTAGTGGTTACCTTTTCTTTCTCCTTAATTGTAGTTCCCCTCTCCCATTTCCGTTGTAGTTTGTAGTACATTTAAAAATGCAATAAAAAATCCTCTTCAAGGGGTCAATAAATAAATAAATGCTGAGTTTAAAAAATATATCCTGCCTTTTGAGAAGAATCATGAGGCAATCCAGTTTGACTCCTGAGTCCAGCTGAAGTTTTGCCCTGTTAAACATCATCATGGGGCATGGCCTCCTCATGCTGATTGGTCATCACCCCCCCATCATTTTGATCAGTGACCTTCATGCTTAATCTCCTTCATGCATACAGAGGGCTCACTACTACACTCTGCTCCCATTAGCCTCAGCAGCCTTTATGTTCCATCTGCCACGGGCTGGGGTGCTAGTCAAAGGGAGTCCAGAACAGGCCAAGGTCAGGAGCCGAGAAGATAGTGCAAAGTCCAAAAAGCCAAAACCAAATCACTAATCAGAAACATAGTCCAAAGCCAAGCCAGGGTCAGGAGCCAGGAACACAGAGCCAAGACCAAATCATTAACCAGAAACATAGTCCAAAACCAAGCTGGGGTCAGGAGCCAGAAACACAGAGCCAAGACCAAATCACTAACCAGAAACATAGTCCAAAACCAAGCCAGGGTCAAGAGCCAGGAACACAGAGCCAAGTCCAAAGCCAGGGGGTCTGAAGGTCTAGGTTCAAGAGCCAAGCCAGAGTGGATGCCAGCAGTATGAAGCTGACTTGTTGCTTCCACGAAGAGTACTGCCCAGAGTGTGGAGTTAAATGCTGCTACCAATTAGCCAGCTGCATGATTGGCCAGGCTCCTGTTAGAACTCTGGGCTGGCTGAGTGTCTCCCCTGTAGCCTGACCTCTCTTTGCCTGCTTGCTAAGTTTTGCCACAGTCACTCCCTTAAACAAGTCACACGTGGGGGTGAGTCAGAAGGACTTTCAGCTTGCAGTTCTTCCTTCTTATCTTGGCCAGGTGTGAAGACTGCTGTTACAGGCACTTGCCAGCTCTCCTCCTCTGCTGCTTCAGAGGGGCCAGCTGTGGTTTCTGCAGGCTCTGTCAGCTCATCCTCATCCATACCCATGACACCATCTGTCCCCACCTGATGCCCTTCTGCTGCTTGCACAGAGACATAAGGGCAGTACTGTGTAGTGTTCCAGATTGACAGCAAAGTGCAAATGAATGCCAAAGTTTGTGTGAGGTGCTTGGTCTGTGGTTCCCCTTTCCATCTTGAATAGGGTCTCTACTTAGCCGACTGCTCCTGTCGGTACTTACCTTGCAGGGAGGGTATGTGGCTCAGTGCAAGACTGCATACTTTGAGTACTGAAGGTCTCCTGTTCAGTCTCTCAGATCTCAGGTAGACCCTGGAGACCTATGCCAATTAGACCAGAAAACAATAGCAACGTAGACCAATTATCTAATTCTGTCCAGTAGTTTCAACAATAAGGGTCCAATGTAGCTAACTCTGATAAACAGGTATATGACTGCATCCTGTCCCTAGACTCAGGTAGATTTTTTAAAATTATAGTATTGCACTCTGTTTTAGAGAGGGCTAAAATCCAGGTAAGGATATCGTAGGTTATTTCCTAACTTATTATCTACAGCTCATTGCTCACTCTTAACTCTGATTGAGCTTGAACTTGCCTGGCTACATTGTATGTGGAATAAACTAATTAAGCCACTCCATTGCATTATTAATAATCTACCCTGCACAGGTATTAAATTTTCAGTATCTGGAGTTTATTTAATTGGCCTGTTTCCCATGCTGTTCATTTACATAACCGCAGACATCTGCTGATGGCACACTTTCTCCCAAGTATACTGTGTCTGTCACAAATTTCATTAAATATCTATGCCTCTGAGTTTTCCTACCCACTAGAGATTTCATTAATGTAAAAGGGGAAGATATACCAATTGGGTACCATAAGGAATGAAATTATATTTAATGATACCACTGCCCTACCATCTGTTGGGGGGGCGGGCGGCTGTGAATAGTTTTACCCGGAGACATGACCATTTTATAGTACTGTGGGGTCCTGGAATACAAGAAAATGAGCTTTTTCTGAGTATCCATTTATTACTACACAGAAGGATGAAAAATGGTTCCAGAAGGCAGGCTTCCAGCTTCTTCCTTGTTGCTTAAAGGTAAAGCAACCTTTGCTGGATCACATAATGCTATGCAGGTGTTCAGTACAAAGGCAGACACTTTTTTCAGGACCAATGGCCATGTCTGAAATATGCCATAAGCTGGGCAACTGTGGCAAATTTGCACATCTAATTATTTTTTATGTCATTTCCATATATCCCATGAGTGGTTTTTTTTTTTTTTTGCATAGAGTACAGGTAGGCATGTGATCAATATTCTGACATCCGAATCTGAAATTATGAAACCCAGATGTCAAAGATCTATTAAAAAAATCATAAAATAGAAACCTGCATCCTAATTTCTAAAACAATATTCCCTCATCAATCCTCTTCTTTCTTACCTGTTTCATTACACATCCTTGAGGTGCTAGGTCTGTAGTCCTATTAAATCCAGGGGAAACTTCTGTGTACTATAAAATTTTGTTTTGTTGTGGATTTCCAGATCTATCAACCCTTGAGCAGGTTTTGAAATGCCATAGAATCATAGAATCACGGAGTTGGAAGGATCCCTAGAGGCCATCTAGTCCAACCCCCTGCTCAATGCAGGATCAGCCTAGAGCATCCCTGACAAGTGTTTGTCCAGCCGCTGCTTAATATCCAGCCTGTACCTTTCTGCCCTTAATGTAAGTCCACTATTGCAAGTCCTATCCTCTGCTGCCAACAGGAACAACTCCCTGCCCTCCTCTAAGTGACAGCCCTTCAAATATTTAAAGAGAACTATCATGCCCTCCCTAACCTCCTCTTCTCCAGACTAAATATCCCCAAGTCTCTCAGCCTTTCCTCATAGAGCCTGTACTCCAGGCCCCTGATCATCCTTGTCACTCTCCTCTGCACAAGTTCCATTCTGTCCACATCCTTTTTGAAATGAGGTCTCCAGAACTGCACACAATACTCCAGATACAGCCTGAACAATGCAGTGTACAGTGGGACTATGACATCTTGAGATCTGGATGTTATGCCTGTTGATAAAGCCCTAAACTGCATTAGCTGTTTTTGTCACTGCATCGTACAGACTACTAATATTTAACTCAGATGTAGAACTCGGCACTTATCCTTGTTAAATTGCATCTTTAACATCTGCTCACTTTTACGGTGTGTTCAGATCTCGTTGAATTCTATCTCTATTTTCTGTGTTTGCTGCTCCTGTCAATTTGATGTCATCTGCAAATTTAATGAGTAGCCCCTCCACACCCTCATCCAGATCACTTATAAAAATATTGAAAAGTACCTGGCCCAGAACTGAGCCATGTAACATCCCACTAGACACCTTCCTCCATTCAGATGGAATTCCATTGACAACTACTCTCTGA